ATGTTGTAAATTTTCGTTCATCATTTGGCATTTGGGTCGACGAAAAATGCAGAAAGTGCAAATAGCAAGAATACTATTCCACCAATTATCGTTACTAAAATAAATACATATTATAGTTTAACTAAAAAGCCAACAAACTAACTTTAGACGTAAGCATCGTGTGCGGAATATTGAAAATAAAAAAGGCAATACATAATGAACAACAAATTACATTAGATAATGGTTAATTTCTTGCTTGTACAGTTTGCCAAATAGATAATATGTGTATCTATTGTACACATAATTTGAAAGCCAAACTAATGTATTCAAAGGGAAACATTTAAAAACGTCGAGAGAACTTACCCGTCCGAACTGATATCTTTTGTGCTATTAATCGGCCGCCTATTACAGCTACTCCTGTACATACAAAATGCCCTAATATGCCTCCAGTAATAACCCCGAATACATCCTGCAAATAAATTATATTTACCCATTATAAGCAAGACAATAATAAAAACGTTTTTGACGATTGATTCTGCTAAAACCTGAAGTAACGATTGCATTGTAATAGAGAACATACGACGCGTCGCACCACACAAACAAGTACGAACTAATAACCACCTATAAAATGTACTATTTGCATAAAATTAACATAAATCCCAACCTACACATTTAAAATACATATCATTATGTTCTATATTTTCAATGTTTAGACGAATGGTAGCCGATAATATTTAATCGCGATTGTGGAGAAACAAGTACAGCTACTTACTTCCGTTGCGCTTAATAAAACTGTTGTCAGCTGAGATCGGTCTCCCCATTCAGCCAGAAAAGTTAACGTCAGTGCTTGAAGAAATATACGTGACACAGCTAGAAATGCAGCTAAACCTTTTTGATGTTTTGGTGTTCTACTTTCTATATCTGACAATGATTCTCTTTCCAACTAGAATTACAACTAAATTACATTGTTGACTGTTCAGAGAGATCATATATAAATTACTTCTTCATCTCTTCGTCGTAAATCCATTTGTACCTCTTCCAGTTCTTCCTGTGCTTCTGATCCTGACATGTGATAAGCTTCTTTTAACATCTTCAAACCAAAAATAGCAAATAATGCTGTGCTTATGTAAAAGGTATACACTCTTGGAATTAGTTTAGCCACCCATCCAAACAAAGCTATGATAAAAAACATCAGTAGTAAAAGCATTATATTATTATTATTGCTTTAAAGGAATACATTAATCGCTTCGTAAATACTATTTACCTGATAAAACAGTCATTATAGCCAGCGCAGTCATGGCCCCAGTAAAAACTGTTAGTCTGGGATGTTTCATAGCCATAATGGCTGCAATAAAAAACGTTTTATCACCTAATTCTGATACCAAAATAACTGATATCGAAGCAACAAATCCATGCAGGAATCCCATATTTTCTTCCCTAGTCTTTGTTGTATCAGTTTTCTAAAACATTGTGATTCAGACAAACATTGCCGAATTATTATTTAAAAGCTTACTAAAATACTAAGCGTAGTTAAATCCTCCTTTGGTTCTTGCTCTGAATTTACAGCATTAATTAATGTAAGACTGACAAAAACTACAATATAAATAAGCTGTCCCGGCAGTCCCTTATTCGTCATTTTTTCCATGATTCTAGATAAAAAAAATATTAACATTGAGTACACACGGGTACATATGTTACACTTTAATTACTACATTCTTACTTAAGGTAGTTGCTTTAAGGTAATTGCGTAATTTCCTTGAAAACTTCTTTTCTTTTAAAAAGGGAAACAAAGGTTATGACCGACAGTAATGTATTACAAAGTTCCGCTAGGTGCGCTATCGAAGGAGTTATTACTCTGACGATTACGATCACCTTTTTCTATGATCGATTTAATTATTACTCATGGTTACGGATAAATTTATTTTAACGATTTTATTAGATTATGAAAGGGAGAATTCGTAATGGTTGTGCAAAAGAAAGCCAGTTTGCCACCAGAACGATCTGCTCAGCAGTATATTTGTGGAATTTACTGCTGTAATATAAAACAAAGCTATGTAAGGTTTCTTATAATCTTTTTGGCTTCATGGGCTGCACTATTGTTGCACGTTCTGCAACAATCCGATATGAATGTGCAGCAGTGCGGTGGATCGTGCTATATCTATGATCATACAACATGTAACTTCTATGAAGTTCGTTGTCGCGGGCTTGTTGAGTGGCAATGGTTTCCGTTAGTCTCTGACAGTGTATCGCAGTGTATATTTCTTTAATCTGTGGTCTACACAGGTCTACATATAGTTTCACCCATGTTTCGCCCTATTATCCTATTTCTTTTCCGTTTGATAATTTGCTTAAAGTAGAATAAAGTATGTAGTGTTCATGCAAGATCATTTATTAATATTTTCCTAGAATTAAGGAACTCTAACCCGTACACGTTCTATGGGAATTGATTGTTTCCATATAATAAATCGGATATACATTGCACGTATAGCAACATATACTTATTAATAAAATGCCCCTTTACGAAGGAATTGGAACTGAAAAACTTACGGTCGTTATGGATCTTGGAGCTGCATTTACAAAGTGAGTACTACAGATAATAGGAAATGTGAATTTGTAAAACTTGATTCTAATTTTTAGATTGGGATTCAGTGGAGAATTCGCACCGAGGCATATAATTCGATCAGAAGTTACATTGAAAGGTTCAAATCTAACAAGAGAAATTTATTCATATGTGAATGGAGACGATTTGTATGACTTACTGGTGGAGTTTTTGCATATGATTTTTTTTAAGTAAATAGTACAAATATATCAGACGTATCTAATTATTATAATTTTAAATAACTTTCAGGTATGTCCTATTGAGCCCAAAAGATAAACCTGTGATAATTGTAGAATCTCTGTTATGCCCAACAATATTTCGAGAAACACTAGCAAAAGTGCTTTTCAGTCACTATGAAATATACTCTTTACTTATTGTTCCATCACATTTGGTCAGCTTAGCGCCGTTGGCAATTAATACTGCATTAGTTGTGGACGTAGGATACTTGGAGACTACAGTTATTCCAATTTGTCATGGTCTTCCAGTACTTCATGCTTGGCAAGCATTGCCTTTAGCTTCTCAGGCAATTAATAAGTAGGTTATTGTTAAAAACACACAAGGAAACAGTATTAAATTTTTTGTGTTGTAGCAAATTAAGAAAACATTTACATTCTTGCAACATAAAGATTTCAGAAGTAAAACAGAATATTATAGATGATATTAAAGGTAGTTAAGTAAATAGTTTCTTAGAAAATCCTTATCAATGCCTGCTTTAAATTTTTTTTCTGTAGTTCGCTGCTGTTTTGTTACCCCACAAAGAAGAGCCATTCAGTTTCTCAAGTCAAATTCACAATTAAACTATTGTCCAGACTTGCAATATCCACTAGGAGGTACTAAGATTATAAATGTTCCTGGGAAAATACGAGAAACTGTTGCTGAATTTTTATTTGAAGAAGATAATGATCATCAGTGTCTATCAACAATGGTTTTGGATTCAATTTTAAAAGTAAATGTTGATTTGCGAGTAAAGTTAGCTGAAAATATACTTCTTACAGGAGGCACTGTCATGCTCACTGGTTTTAAAGCACGATTTAAGGAAGAATTATATAAACAATTGAATTCAAGTCGCTATGAAAAATTGAAACTTTCTAAATTTATGTTTCATTCAGCTCCTTCAAAGGATAATTATACGGCTTGGTTAGGAGGTATGTACAGTTTACTGGGTTACATTGCACAAGAATAATGATTATACTTGATTAATACATTTTACCTAATGTAACATTAAAAAGGCTCTGCATATGAGTTTAGCAGTATTTATACCTATTATTTATTTTATATAAAATTTAGGACTATTTTTTTTTTTAATATTACTGTAATATAAAATCTATACAAGTTTCATTTCCTACGCGTCTACGCTAATACACGCGCGGCCCTTGTTATTTTATTGTGCAGTACCTTTTAACTGATGAAATGCTGAACTCTCACTCTGCTCTTTATTGCAAAAAATGAATGTGCATTAATTGTGTAATGTTTACAGGTGCAATATATGGTGCTACAGAAGTTTTAGGTATGAAGAGCATTACCAGAGAATATTATTTTAAGGAAAGCCGTTTACCTGACTGGCCCAACATGAAAGATAATTCACGAATACAGTAATAATTTTTCCTACATAGGTATTTTGAATTTGTTTTTATTGTTTCCTTACACAATTTGACATCTTTAATATTTAAACAAAGTTTTCAATGATTATATATAATGACAATTACTGAAATGAATATTTACCATTGACTTAAAAACATGCTGCTCTACTTTGCTATGTAGGGCGTAATAAGGTTTTCAGAAAAGGTTTTTACTTTTTCAACACCTCTAACTTCTTCTTCCAATAAAGGTAGTTTAGTAATATGAAAATCCTCATAAAGGTCATTGATTTGGTCTAAATACTTTTCTTGAATTTTATATCTTGCGGCACACATCTTGCAAGGGGTTTCATTTTTTTTTTTAAAGAGAAGTTGGTTTACAATTATATTGTGTGTGTCTATTTTATATTTTGTTAGTTCTTGCACTAAGCGTTCTGTTTCATACAATGACAGGAATTCTGCAATACATACACAAACAAAAGTAGTTTGATCAGCATCCTTGAATTGCTCATTAACTTGTTTTATTATAGTCAACATTTCTTCAAGTTTCGTAGTAAAGATGTCGGCATTAAAGTCTGCTAATCCCAACAATCTACTTAATTGCATTATAAGAGGTGTTATACGAAGCTTTAATCTTAGTAGTTTGCCTAGGCCTTTTTCCACAACTTGAGGAAATGATAATAGTCTCAAAGTATGCCCTGTTGGAGCAGTATCAAAAACTACAACTGAAAAATTCATTCCTTTAACTAACTTCATCACCTCAGCATAGCTCATAGCCTCATCAATTCCAGGAAAAGCTCCAACAATTTCCTGTATAATTCCTTTGCTCATTTTTAAAGTGTCTGCTTCTCCTTCAAAGTATTCCTCAGGCAGTTCATTAAAACCAACATTAGGATCTATTTCCATTGCGTATAGGTTATCAAATCCTTTAATTTTGGTAGGGACCTTGGTAAATTTTTGATCAAATGCATCTGATATGTTATGGGCTGGATCTGTTGAAATAATGAGCACCGTATCTCTTGTTTTGGCCAACTGAATTGCCAAACTGCAACTAAATTGAAAAACTAATTACAAATGTAAAATACATACAGAAACATGAATTTATGTATTCATTCGCTTCAAGAAAGGAAAACATCTATCAAAGAACGCAGAAAAAAGTAACCTGCAGGTTGTTTTCCCAACACCTCCTTTTCCGCCAACAAATATCCATTTTAACGTCTTTTGATTAATAACGTTTTGTAATGAAGGCTCCAAACAATCGAAATCGCTCATCTTAATTCACAATAAAACATACACGCAGCTGCCAAACAAAATTGAAACAACGTTTCATTATGGTTTGATTACCATGAATATCTATGACCATGACTAAAGCAATAGAATTTGACATAGATTCGTAACTTACACTTTCACCATAGATAGTTCAATACATAATTGGACATATTCGGATTAGGTGTTGTGTTAATGTTTCATTTTTGAATGTGCAACATGTTTATTTACGCTGTATTTATGGTAACTTTTTCTTTCGTCTGCACATAAGCCTACTGGAACGCACCTATAAATTAACGTTCTTACATCTGTGATTGTATCATTTGACGGTCCTGACAATTTATTATTTATTACTTTCTTGAAGCTGATGCTTCGTCCTCATTGTAATAATTGGGTTAATTTTGGTATTTTACTTGGTGTTTGGTGAGTTTTGTTATTCATTTGATGTTTTTTACTTAATAAGATAGTCAATTTGTTTTTTNATTTGACGGTCCTGACAATTTATTATTTATTACTTTCTTGAAGCTGATGCTTCGTCCTCATTGTAATAATTGGGTTAATTTTGGTATTTTACTTGGTGTTTGGTGAGTTTTGTTATTCATTTGATGTTTTTTACTTAATAAGATAGTCAATTTGTTTTTTTTTTTGTCGATTATTTGCAGATTGTTGACATAATACTGCTGCTGTGGTGTAGGGCTCCGTGGATTTTGTTTTTTGCTTCTTACCATTAACTTAGAAGTAATTTGCAGTCAAATGGCAGTGCAACATCTGCGGGTCGTCTTTGTGATTGTGTTAGTATCTAATTCTTAAGTAAGTGATCTCTGGCTTTTATTTGTTGTGTATAAGACGATTAAGTTATTGTAATCTCCTAAGGCAACGCTTAGCCGTCTTCATGTGATGAAGCAAGGGAGTTTTAATTACAACACTAGTATAAACTTCACCAGTACAATGTTCTAAAACGTTAACCCGGTTTTTATAGGAAACGAGCACTTTATTTTTAGGAAGGTGTTTAAGTAATTCGTAATCACAATTAATTTATAAAAAGTTACACTTATTAAATGACTCGATGAACAGAGGAGCCGTTTGATAATTACCTTAGTAGGGTAGTAGGTATTAGTAAGGAGGCTGAACCGATCATATGTAATAGTGAGTTCATTTGAACGTTATATTATAGGCTAAATTTTTGAAAATGTAACTTAAATTCGAGCAGGGTATGCTTTGCTTTGTCTGGTATTTTTCCTTTCATGTATCGTTAGTCGCATAGAACGTACCCAATTTCTTCATAGCATAAATTGAGGTTAACATGCATTTACGGTTATTTGATTTTGTTATTTTGACAATTTATTGTGTGTGGCTTCTTGATTGTAATAGTTTTGTTAATTTTGGTATTTCAGTTGGTTTTTATTATTTATTTCATGTTATTTACTTAATAACATAGTTAATCTGTTTTTCTTGACGATTATTTGCAGATAGTTGACCTAATAGTTTACTGTAGTGTAGGACTCCGAGTACTTTGTTGTTTGCTGCTTACCATTAACTTAGAACGAATTTGCAGTCAAATAGCAGTGCAATATCTGGGGATTGTCTCTGTGATTGTGTCAGTATCTAATTCTCAAGTAAGTAATCCCTTGTTCTTAGTTGTTGACCATGTGTTGATTAAGTGATTATGATGTCTTAAAGCAACGCTGAACCATCTTCCTATGATGATACAAGGAAGTTTTTGTTAACAAAACTAGTATAAAATTCACCAGTACAATGCTCGAAAACGTTAACTTGTTTCTTATAAGAAACGAGCACTTTACTATTGGCAAGCTGTTTAAGTAATAGGTGTTCACTGTTAATTAATACAAAGTTACAATCATTTGAATCACTTAATGAACAGAGAAGAAGGTTGATAGATAGCTGAACTGATCATATATATTAGTGAGTTCATTTGACATTGGGCTACTTTTGTTAACTTTGGTAGTTCATTTCGTTTTTGGTATAATATTGTTATATATTTTATATTATTCCTTTTATAACATAGTTAATTTGTTTTTCGTGCCGATTATTTCCAGATAGTTGACTTAATAGTCTACTGTAGTGTAGGACTCCCTGGACTTTGTTGTTTGCTGCTTACCATTAACCTAGAACGAATTTGCAGTCAAATGGCAGTGCAATATCTGGGGATCGTCTCTGTGATTGTGTCAGCATCTAATTCTTAAGTAAGTAATCCCTTGTTCTTAGTTGTTGACCATATGTTGATTAAGTGATTATGATGTCTTAAAGCAACACTGAACCATCTTCCTGTGATGATACAAGGAAGTTTTTATTAACAAAACTACTATAAAATTCGCCAGTACAATGTTCGAAAACG